TTTCCATTCTCTTTGCACGGATATAGAACATATGTTCGCACTTCAATAGGGGCAACCTCTTTCTCCCTGGTCTATGGGATGGACGCAGTATTGCCTATTGAGGTTGGGTTGTCTTCATTAAGGGTCTTGATGGAAGCCAAGCTCGAAAAAGCTAAACGGGTGAAGGAAAGGTTCGATACCCTGAATCTCATTGACGAGAAGAGGATGGCGATAATGTGCCACAGTCAGCTTTACCAAAAGAGAATGAAGAGGGCCTTCGACAAAAGAGTCCAAATCAAAAAATATAAGGAGGGTGAGCTGGTACTCAGAAAGATTCTGCCAGTACATCGAGACATGCATGGAAAATAGATGCCAAACTAAGATGGCCCATTTGTTGTGAAGGCGGTCTTTTCTGGAGGCTCTCTGATCCTTGCAACGATAGATGGTGAACAACTCCCTCATCCCGTGAACTCAAATGCAGTAAGAAAATATTATGCCTAAAAAACCCGCTAAGTTGAGACCGGGAAAGGCAACTTAGGCGAAAAAGGGGACATCCCAGTGGATCATAACCTATGAAGGAGATCCAGGCAAAAATTAGGGATAAAACAAAAGAAAAGAAAAGCTCACTATGTCGAAAACCTGGAAAGGGGGCTTAGGCAAAAATGAGCAACAAAGGCATTTCACTACATCAGGAGTTGTCACTACATGCAGAAGATCATCAAAAAGGCTCATTCTCTACTACTCTCGTCAGAGGAAACGTTTCAGACCGACTCTTAGTTAGTTAGGACTGGATGATCGTTGGATTTTTGTAAACCTTTACCTATATTTTCATTTTTCCAAATTGTATTTGTTCCATGGGACTTTGCCTTTTGTATGTTTCCATCTTTGAATAAAATCAGATTTGGACCAATTTTTTTTATGCTCCACTATGCTCTACCTTTTTGTAATGCAAATATCACTTATTCATTAATAATGATTTTTGAAACAACAAAATTTGTTTTAAAGAAAGTTAATTAATAGAAAAAACATAGCGTTGATTGCGACATGATGGTGTAAATTTAGACTCCTCTCCTGAGAGAGGAATGGTTGAAACCTTGATACCGTCATGCTACAGAGATTCCCTTCTCCATGTCGTCGCGCTACGAAGTGTCGATATCTCTGAATAGCTATTTTGTCAACTGTATTGAAGTTATGACCTCTCTCCAGCAAGTTTGCAAGGACAGGGATCGTTTCCTCCCTAGAGGATTAAGACCATTCTCCAGTGTTGGGATTCAGTGTGATTCTTCGTTTCCCCTGTGATAGATCATTATCTATATTTTGTTGCTTTCCCCTGCGAGTCGTTTGGCATTGCATTTGCATCATACTTTTAGCATATGCATTTTTTCCAGCATACCTCTCGTTTTGGGTTTGTTCTGGATGTAGCCCTTGTGATCCGGTTAGGCGGTTTTCTTTGTCAAGAATCTGTCACACGTTCCCTCCCCAGTAGTTACTGGATGTCATCTTGAGATCCTTTGGTCGTTACCAGACCCTTTTCTTCAGACATGTTGTCACAGGCTTACCCTTTGGTTGTTACCTTAACTTTGTCAAGTTATCTAGCCTAGGTATTATTGTGATAAATACTTATATCCCTGGAAAGTCCAGTAGTTACTGGTATTGTTTAGATCCAATGCTTATTGGTATCACTGTTTAGATGTCACCACATCCTCTAAGAACTCTAGTCGTTACTAGCAATCCCCTACAACCTAGTAATGTTTTGACTGGTGTTGTTTAAAGTCCAAATGATATGGGCATCTCCATTTGATAGTTATCCAGTAAGTCCAGTAATGTCTTAACTGACGTTTTTTAAAAGTCCAATAAATATTGGCATCGTTCGTCTCAAGATGGCTGGTTGTTACTAGCATCCCTGGTGAATCTTAGGATGTTTGGCTGTTATCAACACTCCTAGTGCATCTGTGGATGTTTTGTTTGTCGCCTACACCTCCAGTTGTTTCCTGAAGATCCCGTTCGAACTCTTCACTTAGGAAATCCTCTTTTTTGGTTTAATCCCTATGGAAGGTTTTATTTCCCTCTGGATTCCCCAGGAAGTCTAGTTGTTATCAGCTCCCTGTTGATTTTTGCTTGTCTGGTCGTCACCAGATTCCCCTTTGAAGTCTAGTTATGACTAGCATTAGGTAAGTCGCTGACCCCTATCTGATACTGCTAATTGGTAGTTACCAAAATTTAGTCATTACTAATGTTGCAGCTTATCCCCAAGATCTGGTTTTTACCTGAATCTATTCATCAGTCGATGTCCCGCTTGTTAACCGACTCTGCTGAAAGTCTAGTAGTTACTGGCATTATTTTAAATCCAATTGTTATTGGTATCATTGATTTGATCGTCACCATGTCCTCTTGAAAGTCTAGTTATTACTAACATTCCCTAGAAAATCCAGTAGTTACTGGCATTTCTTAGAATCCAATTGTTATTGGTATTGCTGTATTGGTCGTCACCAATCTCCAAGAAAGTCCAGTGGTTACTGGCATTGTTTAAAGTCCAATTGTAATTGGCAAATTTCATCCAAACTCCGTTTTATCCTTTGAATGTTGTTTGTTATCAACATTTCCCCAGGAAGTCCAGTAGTTACTGACTTTGATTAAAATCCAATCGTTATTGGAATGTGGGTCGTTACCAATATCTCCCCATGAAGTCTAGTCGTTACTAACATTTCTCAGAAAGTCCAGTAGTCACTGGCATTGTTCAAAATTCAATTGTTATTGATTTTGCTGATTTGGTTGTCACCATATTTGTTGAAAAGAGTAGTAATGTTTTGAATGGCAGTCTAGCCAAGACAATTTGTCTATCCTCAATGGTTTTATCAAAATTATCAACTCATCCTTCATCAAATGGCATACCTTCAGAAATTCGTTAGGGAAGTTTGTTGAAGACTCCGCAGGGATGTATTCCCCAGTGAGTTCGTTATACCAAGTTAATTTCATCAAATGGCATCTTTTCGAGAAGTTTGGTGAAGATTATTGCAATACATCAAATCAATCGGCCTGCATCTCCTATGAAGATCCACAGTAACATTTACTATTCTCAAGTAAGTTATGGACACCACATTGAATTCGTAATCTCTAGTGGAACTCCAATACCCTATGAAGATACTTTCCCATAAGTATTCATCATTCCAAGAAGAAAATGAGACTCGTTCATGCCATACAACCTTGAAGCGTGGGGAGGTTTATTTTACCCTTTTCAAGTGGAATACTTGATTAAAGAAGAAACTGAGATTCGTTCATGGCATACAACCTTAAAGCGTGGGGAGGTTTAGTTTACCATTTTCAAGTGGAATACTTGATTAAAGAAGAAACTGAGACCCATTCATGGCAGGTTAATTTTACCCTTTTTAAGTGGAATACTTGATTAAAGAAGAAACTGATACCCGTTTATGGCATACAACCTTGAAGCGTGGGGAGGTTTATTTTACCCTTTTTCACGTAGAATACTTGATTAAAGAAAAAATTGAGACCCGTTCATGGCATACAACATTGAAGCGTGGGGAGGTTTATTTTACTCTTTTCAAGTGGAATACTTGATTAAAGAAGAAACTGAGACCCATTAATGGCATACAACCTTGAAGCGTGGTGAGGTTTATTTTACCTTTTTCAAGTGGAATACTTGATTAAAGAAGAAACTGAGACCCGTTCATGGCATACAACCTTGAAGCGTGGGGAGGTTTACTTACCCGTTCTAAATGAGTCATTCAGCCAAAGAAAAGGCAAAATTATATTTTGATTATGAAAGTTGTTTTAGTTATTACCTTTGCTTAGGCCATTATACATTTGATGGTAGGTAATATACTGTATCATTTTGGACATATACCTTTGCTTAGGCTACCAGGTTTGGTAGTAGGTCATATTTCCTCTTCATGTTACCTTTGCTTAGGCTATCATATGATTGATAGCAGGTAATATGCGTCTTTGTTTCAATTGGATGCATTTGCTTAGGCTACCACAAGTTGGTAGTAGGTTATCCTTCAATATCAAGTTTCTCGCCTGTTTTTTGAACTACCACATACCTGATAATAATTTCTATACATCTCTAAGATACAATCTGTTTAAGCTTTCCCCAGTGGTGGTTGTTTGCCTCTTCCCCAATAAAGTTGAATCTTTTTTCGGGGAGTCTTGATTTGCCAAGTCTGTTCCTCGTCGGTTTCTTTTTTTTTGTCGCAACGTTCCACATATAGCTACCCCTTGTGGCACCATTCCCCATAGGATCTTGTGTCTTGCATTCCATCATTTTATATCATCAGCATTTTGTGGCATTTTAGGGCCAAAAATTTGTGCATGTTTGTATTCAAGCTTCTTCTATCACGTCGAGACGAAGATTTCAATCTCCACACCTCTGGATAGAAGAAGCTTAAATAGGGGCATCTGTCACACCCTAATTTTCAACCCTAAGATCCTACTTCTTTGTACACCGTCTTGCATAACATTTCTAAGTCAATCACACCTGCATGGCTAACTAGGTCTTCCTTGCTTTATTACTTTTGTTTGTTCACTATTGAATCAGGGACTTGTCTCAAAGGAACTTCAAGGGTCAGTCAGACAATTTTTGAATGTACCATCAGCCAAGCATACTAGATTCAAGTGAATATGCATGCTCACAAGTATTTCTAGACGTGACTAACTTATCCTGATCCTAGGGTTTGTTATTGGCCCTTCTACTCAGGGTTCTTCAAAAGATTCGAGAAGAACTAAGGTCTCGTCCTATTAATACTAAGCATGGGCATGTGAAGATTATTTAAGTTTTCTTTTCCTTTCATGTGTGTTGAGCATGGTCATTTAAGAACTGGTTAGGGTTTTGTGGATTGTTATGAGGTCCATATAGTCAAGATGGTTCTTAATAGTTAAACTATGGAACATGATGTCGTCAAATAAAACATGATTGCTTTTGTGATTAAATTTGAGATTTATGAAACACAAGTTTTCTATTGAAGTATGTTTGGGCTACTCATTTCGGATCTCAACGGGGAGCTGACTTACTTCAAGCCTAATTTCGGAGGCCTAAAAAAAACACAGTGTTGCTCGGCCTTCATTTGGATTTTGTAAAATGTATCTCTTTCCGTTTTCGCTAAGCCACTGCCCTCAATCCTCAAGTTGAACTTTGTAGGAGTTGCTACCGTCACCAACACCCATAACCTGTCCAAACAACAACAAAACAGTTTAGAAAACCTGTCCATAATGCAAAGATGTGTTACCTAACCGCTTAAATATTGCTATAACGACAAGATATGTTAGCATACGGTCACCTGCAAACGATGCTTTCTCGCCCTTCTAAACTAATAATATAACTTCGCCTTCGTTGCCAAAGAATGAAATTTAGTCAGCACGCAGGCTTGATGTTCGTCCCAAGCAGGACCAATGTTCATCGTTGGATGATGTAACGAACATCATATTGCGAGATACGATGGAATTGTTGAGAAAATAAATAGATGAATCAATGAAACCTTTTCATTCTAAAGCGACAGGGGCTGAGGAAAATGGCGCAAGGTTGGAACTACAAAATTCCGTTGGTTCAGATGTACAGATGGATGACATGAAAAATCATTCATAACCCCGTGTAAAGCATCAACAGTAGCAAACAGTAGCAAAAATCACCCTTACTCCATCCATAAGAATCTTTCCTCCATCTTAAATACCTGAAAAGATAGAACGAAAACAACACGGATGTCAATTTAACTGCACATTTTGTAAACGATACTTGAAATTCTTTCCAAAAAAAGAAGATTATAAAACTGCAATGCACGCAGTTCTGGATATTAAGATCATCAAACTCCTGCTGCTGTTAAAGTTGATGAAATGCCACCCTCAAATGCTGCAAGTAATTGTTATTGAAACACTGCAACACAGAGAGTTTCATGACGTACACGCGAACAGGACAATCACACGACGGAAAGCATCGAAGAGATACATAGAAGCAGCAGCAACGTCACAACGTTGGAATTTAAAAGAAGAAAGTAGGAATCTTACCTCCACTCGGTTCCAGGTAACCTTTCCTTCCTTTTTTTTCTGCAATTTTGAATCGTGTTAACTTTAATATCGTTTGCAGAGTCGACGTCGTAATAAAACCTTTGAGATTGGTGTCGAACTAAGGTACGAACGAGGAAGGAGTTTATTCTCCACCGCAACCGACGTTAGGCTGTGGCACGACGGAGCTGTTCGTTACTCCGACGACATTCGTTGATGCGAAGATGGTGGCGAACGAGATCGTGAGATGAGGACGCTCGAAGGTATGCTAAAGGGATGGCGGTCGTGTGATCGAGGAAAGGAAGCAAGTGGGCCGCGGAGATTCGGTAAGTTTTCTTACCGCGGAGAGAGATTTCGAGGATGGAAAACGCAGATGAGAGAAGAGCGAGACTAAGCAAGAAAGGAGATTTGGATTCTGATGTTGGGTTCCACTTCACGCGTTGCCATGAGGTGAGGTTTGGGTCGATTGAATGGACCCGACCCATTTGTTTGTTTCTTTTTTTTTACTTGTTTTTTTATTGCTATGGGCTTCAATCCCAAGCCCACCCTTTTTTTTAAAAATAAAAAGGAAACTGATTTTTTCTTCCCTTTTTATTTGTCTTTTACTATGTGATTTAATATTTTTGTATTTGGAGTGTGGATTTGGTAAATAGATTAATTAGATATTAATAATAAAGCAGGATAGTAACTTGATGTTGATTAACTTTGAGTCTGATCCTAATTTGGTGCAAAAACTAGATCTTAATCTCAGTACTAAAATTGTGGTTGAGAGGTTTTGATTTACAATTAGCTTTTGTTCAATTTAGTTTCCAAAGAATAAGATTAAGATAAACATAGGATTCAACTATTGCATGCTAACTTCTAGGATAGTTTCCTCGATCTAAAGCTTAGGTCCGTAATATTAGATTGGGTTTCCCTTGCTTAAAACTAACCTTTCTTCTCCTGATTAAATACATTCTAACTGTAATCTCTAAATGTCTTTATGTTTCCTTAGTGTAATATGACATACACCCGATTCATGATATGATATCTCATTCTATAAGTTGATTATGCTACACAATTTATATAAGTCAATCCTGGTTTATAATTTCGATGCTTATTGCTTTTACCTACTTTCCTTATAATATGAATGTTAATGTCCAAGGGACGAACTTGTATATGAATTTATAAGTTGTATACATTTCATTTTCATTTGCATCATTTTACCTGTTTGATCCTTTATTTTTCAAGTCGATCAGCTTAGGTCACCCTTATATCTCAACATAAGATCCCCCTAAATTTTCAACTTAGACAACTTATCAATAAAATTCCATATTCTCCCACAAGAGAATTAGACATGATTCATCTAGGTAATTGAGACATAATTCTTCTACCCCATAACATAATTGAGAAGGATGTAGAATCTTTTCCGCTTGAGAGAGGTATGTGGCATACTCGACGATTAAATCCGAGTTGGAGCTCTTCTCTCAATGCGATGCAAATACCGTCTTCTATATGTTTGTGGTGGTTAAGTCGAGTATCCTCCCTAAGATGACAACTCGTCTCTTCTCCTAGAATCAATCAACAAACCTTCTTCCCCCTTGGAACTTTGACCATAGTCAATGGTTCCTCATCTCTTTAGGGGAACTACAGATGCTTTTATTCCACTCCCGTCAGGATACATAGGCACAAGATGCGATTTCTTGGTGAGCATACTTAGAAATAAACCCCTAGGTCTTTCACCCTTAGCAAACAAAAATAACAAATAAAATGAGAGGTTCCTGTAGGGTACTACAGATACATAGGATGCTAGCACCTTCCCTAGGTATAACCAACCCCCGAACCTTAGATTCTCTAGCTTTGCATTGCATTTCATGCTCATGGGTTATTCGATCTTTTTCCCTTCCCTTGGACAAATTAAAGACCGGTGGTGAATAATGATTTGCAATTCAAGTTAATTAATAACTTGTTATCCAATTCTCACCATGACAGAGACATCCCTACCTATTACTCTGGTCATACTCTGATCGAAGCACATATTGCCACATCTACTAAGTAAGTTCCATAATCGTCGAGCTACCGACGTTAAACAAGCGATGCGTGGGAGGCAACCCACGACCATTTTATTTTCTTGTTATTTTTAATTCTTCTTATTGTCAAAAGGTGAATTATTTACATTTATTATCCGCTTATTAGAACTGACTTGTGTGATATTTATGTTTCAGGTTTCAGGTCCCATCGCCCCTTATAGCATTCTCCACTAACATTATTTTTTAGGATGCAGAACCATGATGATATGCACGTTGTGTTCAGGGATGATAAGCAGAGGAAACGATTTGTGATCCTTTTTGAGCGACCCATGCTCCCAACTAGATACCATGATTCCAACTGCTTTGAAACCTTAGGTCTTGAAGCCAGTGTGAGATACCTCAACCATCAACTTTAATGGGAAGAATACTCTGATGCAATTAATGTCACGTTCAGGAACTTAACCTTAGAATTCCTCAGCTATCTCATTTACGAACCCTACACTGGTAGAGGATTCAAAAGAGGGCATATTAATTTCATATTATTTGGAAAAGAATACATTCTCAACCATTAAGATTTTACTGACCTGTTAGGATTTCATCATGACCTAGATGCTATAAATGATATATCAGAAGTGAATGTTATGCAAGACGAGCTAAAAAAGTTCTGTAGTCAAATCACCGGTGGAGGAGGCCCTGATCCTTCCACCCAACTGTCAAATAAGATCTATAACCCAGCCTTTAGATACTTCCAGATGATTATTGCTCAGACCTTCTTTGGAAAAAGTGAAAATGATATCCATGTAAGTGCTGAAGAGATCCTTATGATCTTTTGCACCTCTCAATCACGTCCTATAGCCAGTGGAAATTTCTTGATGGATAACCTTAACCTAACCGCTAGATCTTTCGAAAGACCCATCCATGATAAGGTACAGTGACACACATAGGTTATGCCTTAGGTCTCGCCTCGAAATTATCTCACCTGACCCCATATTGTGGCTACACCCTTATTAACCTAAACCATTGTTTGGATCATGGCTTAGTGAGTAGAGTTTTCTTTGCTCCTGCCAATTTCAAACTCCTGATAGACGATGAGACCATTCACTACTTTGGACTACCAAACCAGACCCGAATCAATATCCACAATAAAGAAAATTTGTCGTATGCCCTAGAAGGCTAGGATGAGACACCTGCCAGACCTAAGACCCCACCTGTTCTTGAATACCATCCTACACCTCTCTCATAAAGGACCACATTGTATTCCTCTAATGTTCATCTGCAGCAACGCGACATATATTCTGACTTCGATATTAAGCACAGGGAGATATATTCTTTTTGCGAAGAGCTTACTGAATTAATCTTACAGATGGAAGTCTCCAATGCGGCACATGCCACCGAATCTGAGTCCCTGTATCAGGAAATCTATAGCCTTAGACGCCAGCTTGCAGAGGCGCAGGCATCCTGTCCACATATAAATCAGGGTGTCCGTCGCCAATCACTTTAAAGGAGTTACTAGCATACTAAGGACATTGCTTGCACTAACTGTGGAGAAGATTTTTACTACGTTACTATCACTATTTTTACCGCACTGCTAACGTTACTTTTTTACTGCACTATTATGGCCATCTAATTCACCCCAGACATATTATTATTTTTAATTTCCACATATGCAAATTTATCGGTTAATTTTTAAACTTATCGGTTAATTTTCAAATTTAAATTTTGGTTAAATTTTAAAATTTTAAATTTGCATGATCTTTATTATTATTATTATTATTCATATTTAATGTGCATGTTTTATTATTTATATCATGTAAAAATATTATCTATGTCTCTTGCATGTACAAATACCTCAGAAGACGCTACGCACACCCCGAAACGAGGATCCAAACCCAACCAAGGCCCAATTCCTGTGTTGGGCCCAAAATACAAGGATGGCGGGCGCCATCTCCCTCATGGCGGGCGCCAAGACTTCTAGAGCCTTTACGGTGCAAAATTGAGAAAATCCCTATTTTCTTTATCCTCTTCATCTTCAACCTCTAAAAACTCCCATTTTCTCCACTATTGACCCCATTAAAAACCCACTAAACCTCAATAATCCCTTACTCAACTACCATTTCCCACTATATCACTCACTTCCTATCTATAAAAATCCAACCTTTCATCCATTTTCCACACAAAAATTCCCAAATCACAAAATTCACTAAAACCCTCATTTTCTTCAAAACAAACCACCAACAATGGAAACAATGGAGCAAAGACCAATAGTTTTTCATGAGGGAAGGGATGGGGATATGAAGAGGCAAAAGTTTGAAGACTTGCAGACACACAAATTTTTTGCGACGAGGTACATTGATGAAAAATGTCTGTATAGTCTAGGCATCCATTTTAACATAGTTTCTCTGTTGAATAATTTACACTTGCATGAAATTTTTATTCGTAGAGAAACAACCTATGAGAGGATGACTCGAGAATTTATGAG